AGTCTGTGATTGATTAAATAAGAAACAGTGATTGACATCGTGATTAGCTACTTGTGATTTTCATATTCATTTTGTTATTTCAATAAACCTGTTTTGTTTTGAAGGAAACCTTTGTCCTTCTTAAATAGTCATTACCATTGGTGGCAGTGAGTGTGAAGTAGTGTGGTGGGCATTCTGAGAGGCCTGAGTTGGCAGTGACATCAGAGTGGCCTGCTACGTTACAAGAAAACTGGTGTCCAGCGGCGGGATTCGAAGATCCAGTGAAGCCTTGACTGGAAAGGTGCCCAGAGCAGGGGTCTTTAGTTAGGTCATCTGTCAATATACAGATGACCACACCTCCTTTCCTCAGGTGCTGTCACCAGCCAAATTGTAGAACATAGAACCTGCAGATAAAATCTTCCAGAATAAAGCAGAGGAATCAGTAATGGCCTGGCCAAATTGAAATATGGAAAATAGCATCCTTCAGGTGCACCACCATGAAACTTTCTCCCTCCTCCAATAACTGCAATATGGCCGACACAGACCACAGAACTTACTGGGGCAGATGTAGCTGACACCTTTGAGATCAAGAACTGGGTGCAAACCACCCTCTCTCTTGCAGAGACTAAAGTACCAAAAGTAAAGCCTGAGATGTTTGAGCACAGCACGAACTGGCACTATAATGTCCTTTTGAAGCAACCTGGATACAGTATTTCCTGTTCCAGAGCCTCTGAAGGTAGTGTGATGTGGATATGACGTAAAGGAAGAAGAGTGACAAATGTAATGGCATAGCCCTGTGCAAAACAGATAAGACCCAAAAATCAGTGGTGACAATGCACCAGGCACAAGGGTGGCAGGGTAGGTGACTGAAGGGTCATGTTGTTGATCTTGGGGTTGCACAAGTCAAAATTCCTGCTTGTGTTTCTTATCCAGCCTTTTGGGAAGTGATGAAGGCTTGGATCAAAGCGGGGGGCTGTAGATCAAGCATAAGAATGACCAGGATAAGGTTCATGAGCTCTCAGTTAAAGGCTTGTTCTGTTCATAGAAAAGGGTACACCTCCATGATAATTTGTACTGTCTCTGTTGCTGGTTGAAGGATGGGGAAGCAAGCCCCATCCATTTAGCTGTATTACATTTCTTGTATAGGTTCTCCAGTACGTAACTGGCCTTTTCATTGAAAAGATCCTCTCCATCAAAAGGGAGGTTGTCAAAGTTCCCTGGCAACTGGAGTCATATATAAGTATGAAGGGCCACTGCAGCTGACAGACTCTTTGCCACATAGTCTGTCATGTGTTGGGTTGAATTAATTTGATGGGCGGCCAAGCAGAGTGCCTCCTGCTGGAAGATAAGTGCAAGAATCCTCTTCTCCTCAGGCAAACTGTTTAGGAGTCATTTAATCTTTTCCCAGAGAAACTGATGGTAGGCCTCCATAGCAGCCTGATAGTTTGTCATCCAAATGACCAATGCTGTTGTAGAATAAATACACCAGCCAATAAGGTCTATCTCATGTATTTCCTTACTGACTGGAGTCGTATGCTTTCAATCCTTGGTTCATGTCTGGGAAGCATCCACCTTAAGTAATGGCATTTGGCTGCGGGTGTTTGACAAGAACCTGGCCTCATCTTCCTGAACTCTATAGAGATTCTCAATCCTCTAAAATGTAGGTGGCAGGAAGAATGGTGCAGACCAGGTGGTCAATATCAACCATGACCTGTCCTGGTGAGACTGAGGTTCTCAATGCTGAGGTGAAACCAGGATGTGCATGGAGTGAAAGGATTCAAGTCGAAGAGAACGATGTGTATATACACAGTTGTAGCCAGTAAGAAAATATCAACAGTGAGTTCAGTTCCATAAATTATGTTTTTATTAGTAACAATAATTACATGCTGTTAAATAATTTTCAATTTATGGTGACTCTTTCCAGAGTTTTTTGTACTCTGGAATGGTTTACTAGTCCCTTCCTCTGGGGTGCTCCAGTACTCTGCTGCTTGCCCAAGGTAACACAGGCTGGTTGTTCCCATGAGGCATGTAGTAGGGAACTGAACTCTCAACTTCTGGCTCCATAGCCAGATACCTAACTCACTGAGCTATCCAGGCAGCATTCTTCTATTAAAGCCTTAAACATAAAGTATTCCACAACTGCCTATGTGTAATGAATTTAGGAACTGAGGGTTCTTGCTATACTAACATATAAACCCACAGAACCACACCCATTATACCTAATAGTAGTCCTTAACTTCCTTTATGATATTCCTTGTGGTGAATTATAGTCAGGGAAACACAGTGGTGCCTCAGCTTACAACCATAATCCGTTCCAGAAGATGGACATACCTCAAAATGGTCGTAAGTCGAAGCACCAATTAAATGGTTCTGGCCGAAGAAATCACCAAAAAATTTAAATAATCACTGCAAGACTCATTGGAAACATGATTCATCCCTTCCAGTTGAAGGGGGGGGGGAAGTAATCAAGCGTGCAAGGCCCATTGGAAATGCACAGAATAGAAACGGAGCAGATCGGAAATGCACAGAGAACAAAGGGGACAGGTCAGAAATGCAAAGAAAACAAAGGAAAAAGCAAGGGAAGCATGCAGGACCCATCGGAAATGGGGGAAAACCCCCCCAAAAGCAACCAAACCCCCCAAGACCCATCAGAAATTGGGGGGGAAAGCCAAAAAACAAGCAAACCACCAAGACTCATCAGAAATGGGAAACCCCTCCCAAAAAGCAACCAAACCCCCCAAGACCCATCAGAAATGAGGGGGGGAGCCAAAAAACAAACTCCCTAAGACCCATCGGAAATGAGGAAACCCCCCCCAAAAGCAACCAAACCCCCAAAGACCCATCAGAAATTGGGGAGAAAAGCCAAAAAACAAACAAACCCCCAAGACCCATCAGAAATGGGAAACCCCTTCCAAAAAAGCAACCAAACCCCCCAAGACCCATCAGAAATGAGGGGGAGAGCCAAAAAAAACACCTCCAGCTCAAAACCACTCTGCAAAAACACCCGAAACAGTTTCTAAAAAGCAGAAAACAGCACCTTACGTTACAAGGGAGCCTGAAGCCTCCCTGCAAACACACACACGCTCTTAGAAGCAGGAGGCAGCAGTCCCAAGCCTCCTCCGATGCACACTCTAACTGCTGGGGCGAAAGAGCTACAAAGAAGCAGCCTCGTTGCCACCTACAGTCAGAAATTTGAATTTCCCACCTTTTCCCCCTGCCTTTTTCTGTTCGTAAGTGGAAGCTCCAGTCGCAAGTAGAAGCAAAATTTTGCGGCCAGAGCTGGTCATAACTCGAAATGGTCATAAGTAGGCACGTTTGTAAGTCGAGGCACCACTGTAAAGGGAAAAGGGGAATGAGACACCAACCACAATGGAATGGTAAGCTCAGCTATGTTTGTTATTCTAGAAATGGTGTAGAACTGGTATCTGATGGCCTTGGAAGGAAGAGAACGGACCAGGAGCAATCACTATCCATCCTGGCTCTTTGGAAGGGATGAACAATAAGCCAAAATAAAAGAATATATATAAAATTAAGTTACCTTTTACAGGAAGGTTGGGGAGATTCATCTGCTTTACTTCTTAGATCTGTTATTAAAAAACCAAGCAAGTTAATTTGATGAAGCAGACCGAGTAAAGATACAGTCTTTAATAATTAAGTCCTATCTCTTTAATACTATTATAGTCTATAGTCATGACTATAATATACTATTATAGTCATGTTATTACTGCTCGAGTTCTTGGAGTGGAACGACAGGTTACCCACTGTAACTGTAGTTCCTCAGGTGGACCTCTGTGATTAACACCCTGGGTGATCCGCGCCTGCGCAGAGCCTCACTGGACAGTTCTAGAGCTTCTGTGGTAGCAAAAAACACATTAGAATAAGGCCCCTCCCCCCTCGTATAAGTACCTTGGCGCCAAGGCTCCCCCTTTTAGTTGTGTCAACTGCTGCTACATGAAGCAGAATGGTGTGACAGTGGGTAGGGCGGGTGGGATGTGTGAAACACAGAGGTCCACTCAAAGAACTACAATTACAGGTAGGTAGCCTGTCGTTCTTCTTTGTGGCCTCTGTGAATCACACCTTGGGTGACTAAAAAGTTGTCTTACCCAGAAGCAGGGTGTCACACCAAGGTAGAGGCGAAAACAGCATGCCCAAAGGCCACATCAGATTTCTGCTGGAGATCAAGTCTATAATGCCTGATGAAAGTGGATGGCTGTGCCCAGGTGGCAGAAGCACAGACGTCTGGAAGAGGTACGCCATGTAGGAATGCTGTAGAGGTTGCCACTACTCTGGTGGAGTGAGGGCGAATCACCTTTGGGACTGGTTTGCATGCCAGCTGATACACGAGGTGAATGGTTGAAGTGACCCATCGAGATATAGTTTGAGACGTCACCTGGCGACCTTTAGTAAGTGGTTGGTGACTTCTGAAAAGTTGAGGTGAACGCTTGAAAGGTTGGGTGCATTGGACGTAAAAGGCAAGGGCTCGCCTAACGTCTAAAGTATGGCAGAGTCTTTCTTGGGTTGTGGACGGTGACAGGAAGAAGGAAGGGAAGATAAACTGCTGAGAGAGATGGGATTGAGATACGACTTTGGGGAGGAAAGAAATATCCATGGATAGTTTGACTTCGTCCAGAAAAAACTGTAAATAAGGATAGTCGTAACGTAAGGCTGCTAAATCACTAGCTCATTGAGCTGAGGTGATGGCGATGAGGAAAACTGTTTTAAAAGTAAGTAGTGGGATGAAGTGGCGCTGTGGGTTAAACCACAGAAGCCTCTGTGCTGCAAGGTCAGAAGACCAGCAGTTGTAAGATCAGATCCACGTGACAGAGTGAGCTCCCGTCACTTGTCCCAGCTCCTGCCAACCTAGCAGTTCTAAATGCAAGTAGATAAATAGGTACCACCACGGTGGGAAGGTAATGGTGTTCCCTGTCTAGTTGTACTGGCCATGTGACAATGGAAACTGTCTATGGACAAATGTTGGCTCTACGGCTTGGAGCCGGACAAAACTGGACTAAATGTCAGTGGGAACCTTTACCTTTACCTTAAATCAGTTGTTGCAGTACTAATGTTAGTGACCACTGCGGGGAAGGCTGTCTACTGTCTATATTTGGTGGTATGGGCATTTGTCGATGTCGAGATCTGGGTTGTGAGGCTTCGACACAAATAGAGTTTGGAACTGGTTGTTTTGGAAGAAATAGAGCTTCAGGGTCATGGACTCTGTAGAGGTTATCGATTTGTTTAGACATGGCATGTGAAGAGGCTGGTTTTGTCCAGGATCGTTGAGCGGTGCTGAATAGAGCCAGAAGCATCGAGATGTGTACTCGAGTAGTTGTATCTTTTAGAGATTGGGTCGTATAGATGATCATCTGGTTCTGTCGAAGGACGGTGGATATGGAGATTGAGAGACTTAGCCATATGGATCATAAGTTGGGCGTAAGTTTGGAAGTCTTCCGCCGGTGATGGTGAGTCAGGATTGACAATGTCGGGTTCTGGTGAGGTAAGTAATACTGACGGCGTCTTGAGGTCTGGATCCATGATCGGAATAATCGGGATCACGTTGGGAGTCGACAGATTGTTGATCAACTTCGGTGTCGATAGGTTGAGTGTCATAGTATTGACGTTTGTGGCTCAATGTCAGGATGGATATTGAGGATCATCGATATCAAAGCCTGTGTCTTGGTGATGTCGAAACAGAGGTTGTTGACAAGCTGGTAAACCAGTGGGAAAGCCTGTGTCTTGGTGATGTCGAAACAGGGGTTGTTGACAAGCTGGTAAAGCAGTGGGGTATATAGATGCTGAGTGAGAGGAATGATTTCCCTCTTCTGGATTTGAGGGAAAATACCAGGAGGCTGGAGCTGTAAAAGCCTCACGTGTAGAAGAAATTACTCGGCTGTCCTGGGTCTTTTAGGTGCCAGGTAGGGAGCAGGTTGGAGTCCATGTGGATCATGGTGATATGGCTGTTTCGACACCGATGGCTGTCGAGATCGAGGCCCGCCATGAGAAGGTATGGCTGAGCTGGATAGAGCAACTGGCTGATTGGCGGTTGTAGTTTGTCTGGTCGAGCACTGGTCGGGGCAAATGGCAACCCGGTGCGAGTGCTGAAGGCAGGTCTGAACAACGCGTGATGGACTAGACAGCTCTAGGGACTGTTGGGGTCGATGTCTCTGAGGTGGTCATGGTGGACGATCAGATGTTACCGAACAAGGTATGGTCTCTAGTTGTTGTGTGGAGTCGACCCTGTCAGGTGAAGCAACAACAGAAGGGTTGCTCAAAAAAACAAAGTGTTGAGGACTGGGAGGAGAAGATGCCAATCGATCGACTCTGTCATCCCATTCTGGTGATTTGAAGCAGGGTTGATGAAAGGGGATTCCGTTGTCATCAGAAGGCGAACCAGACTGATTTGGCGGTTGGTTGAGGCTGATGAGAGATGACTACAGCTTTAGATTTGTGCTATTTAGGCCTTTTAGGCGGAGAAGGCTCTGGAACTTTGGTGGACATTTGACATTTAGTGGAGGACTTTGATATTGAGGATTTCTGTATCAAGAGCTTTGGTTTATGGGTTTTTGAAGCGGCGGAGAAGGCTCTGGAACTTTGGTGGACATTTGACATTTAGTGGAGGACTTTGATATTGAGGATTTCTGTATCAAGAGCTTTGATTTATGGGTTTTTGAAGCTTTAGACGAAGTGCATGGAGCGTCAGAATGGGATGGTGTGGTTGATGGATGTTGCTTTGAGGCTTCAGAAAGAGCCTTCTACATTGCTTTTGTTTGTGAGGTGGTCTTACAAAGAGGCTGGGCCATTTTGGTTGGCTGAAGGGATTGTTCCCAAAGACAGAGTTTTAATCTGGATAAGTTAGAACGGAGGACTTGAAGTTCTTAAAATGCTAGCAGGAGGATGTCTGGTGTGCCTCTCCCAAGCAAAAAGACACTTGGCGTGGCCGTCGGAGAGTGATATTTTGTTATCACAGACCACACAGTGCTTAAATGGGCCCAAACGGGCGATGAATAGGAGAAAATAATTTGAGGAGAAAAAAGGATGATGGGGGGGTGTTCTGGCCGGAGGCCGAGTGAAGCAGAAAGGAAAAAATCTCTGATGATAATGACTTTGCATCTAAAAGGAAAAAAAGATTGATAACAGGAAAGACTCAAGAATAAACTCTCTCTTTTACTCACAGAAGCAGAACTATGAGGCTCTCAACATGGCGGTTGAAAGAAACTGAAAGGGGAGCTTTGGCGCCAAGGTACTTATACGAGGGGGAGGGGCCTTATTCTGATGTGTTTTTTGCTACCGCAGAAGCTCTAGAACTTTCCAACGAGGCTCCATGCAGGCGCGGATCACCCAGGGTGTGATTCAGAGAGGCTAGGAAGAAGAACCTCATATTTAAATAAACATTAGCCCTAATAACTAAGCTATGTGTGTTCAACAGAGTATTGCCACAAATATTTAACTTCTGATACAGCATTTGAAAAACATTTACAGACAAGAAAAAGTGTATCAAAAGGGTTTATTCTCTGGACACTGCATAAGTAATCTTTTGGAACCTGAGCTACGTATATTTTAGTGTAGCAATGTTACAGGGAGAATGCACTTCAGGATTCCAGGGGAACTGTGCATAGTTCAAAAGGGAAAATCTACTTTTTACAACTTGGAAAATGAATATAAAACCTATGCAATACCTTCTTAGTGTACATTATAGGGTGCATCTTTGAGGTGCTAAGGTGTACCTATTAATTCATCTTTCTTTACCTCTGTTTTATGCTGTAATTTAGAGTTCATTTTGTAAGTTTAGAGCCAATATGAAGTCTCCATAAAATTCCCCCTGCCAAAGCCATCACTCCCCAATAGCAGAAAACAACAGTGCTGGTATTAAAGGAAGTCTGGAGAGCACAACACATACCCACCTTTCCCCTGCTTCTGCTACTCAAGTTGCAATATTCCATGCATCAAATAAAACTACTGGGAGAGTCAGGTTTGAAGGGATTTTCTAAAGGAGCATATGCTAAAAATACTGATTTAGACTCTACAGTATAATGAAAAAATATTGCCATCAGGTAAATGCAGCATTTCAACTGCATTGGTTCATGAACTATGTTTTTGCTATGTTTAACACATATTTGGCATGTAATAACTATATTTAGTATACTTGAAAGAAAGCTGTGCTATTACAGATTTACAGAAATTAAAGCAATTAAATTCGTTCTGCATATGAATCTGAATAAGATTTATAGCCAGATTTTTTGGGGGAGGGCGGGAGAAACCTGTGTTTCAGAATGAAATTCCTTCTAAGGCAGCATACGTACTACAATGGTTTTGCAAGGTTACTTGAGAGTGGCCATCAGCTGTCAAGGTGTCTCTCTCTTGCCCATTATGTTCACTGGATGGGACCTGTTCCTCCGAGTTATGTGAAGCATTAATAGTATGGTCCAAGATCCTCTGTGGTGAAATGGGTGTAGCTTTCTCTCCTGTTCCACGGCTTAGAGGATGGATTCTGAAAGGGAGAAAAGATGCTCGCTTTTTTTCTTTTAGTCATTGGATCAGCAGAGTTTGCAATTCTAGATGTTCTTATAGTCTCTACAGCCAAAAGGCGGCAGATTAGGCTCAAACATCACAGGCTATAAGGTTCTAAAGCTGTATAGGAAGTGACACTTTCCATTCAATCTCCAGTTTATGAATGTGGGATATTGTGCTTTCTGTCAAATCGCCTGATATTGCTGCAAAATATCACTCCAGCAGGAAAAAGGATGCTAAGCTTTACATAGCAAGGGGCAGCCTAAATGCAGACAACACCCATGGCAGCAGTCAAGATGGTCTACAGGATACCCTCTTCTGCTCACAACTATTCACAAGGAAAACTCACAGAAGCTAAATCCTTTTTTCATCAGTTAACCACTTTTCATCTGAACACAAAGCAATGGTCAGGGCTGCTTTATAACAAATGTGAATGGTAGTGAGCACAAGAATAGACAGATTATTTACCTGTAACCATGGTTCTTCAAGTGGACCTCTGTGAATTCACACAAGTGGGTTAAACAGTGCCTGCGCTGGTCCTCTCGGAATCTTCTAGAACTTTAGAAAAAAGTAACAAAGTTTAGGTTGCCCCCTATAGTGCATGCTCCGCCCGCCTTAGCTCTCAGTTCCATTTTTTCCGCTCGCAGAGTTGGAACCTCTCGCCTAGAGCTCTATATTCGCGCTGTTAAATTGGCTATTATTGATCCTGACTCGGCTTGTTTTTTCGACTTTCCGCCTATCTGTTGCCCTGACCTCGGACTGAATGACTTTTCTCCTGATCCTGACTGATGACCCCGACGTTGATGCTTGCGAGGGAGAGAAGCTGATGAAGGAGAAGAGGAATAATCATGAGTTCTCTTCCTTCTCCTCCTGTAATCCTCCGACGTTGAAGAGTCTGATGTATAATCCCATCTTCGACGTCGAGATTTCCTTTGGTCCTCGCTGTAGTCTGAATCAGATATTCTTCTCTTTGACGTCAATGTCACTGATGACCCCGACGTTGATGCTTGCGAGGGAGAGAAGCTGATGAAGGAGAAGAGGAATAATCATGAGTTCTCTTCCTTCTCCTCCTGTAATCCTCCGACGTTGAAGAGTCTGATGTATAATCCCATCTTCGACGTCGAGATTTCCTTTGGTCCTCGCTGTAGTCTGAATCAGATATTCTTCTCTTTGACGTCAATGTCTTCTTCTCCTCTGAATCAGATATTCTTCTCTTTGACGTCGTTTTCTTCTCCTCTCGACGTCGAAGTCAGAGTCATCATGTCTGTGCTTATGATGGTGCCGAGACTTCCTAAGCAAAACCACTACCTCCTGTCCCGAATACGGACATCGAGGAGGAGACAGATTCTTGGTCTTGGCTGGCTTCTTTCGGGGTGGAGAATTTGAAGCCAAAGACCTTGACGCCAATGAAGGAGTTTGTGATGCCCGCCTGGTAAAAACAGGGCTGTCCTGGGCCATAGTTGAACCAACAATAGTCTGAGCTAGTTGGCTCATGGATGGTGACCGTCTGGCGTCAACAGGCAGACGTTCTTGCTATCGAGGTGGCAAAGAAGTTCCTGCCTCAGACAAAGATTCCTGATCCTGGGATGGCATCCAAAACAGGCAAGGGCACCAACGCCAAAAGAAGTTCCTGCCTCAGACAAAGATTCCCGATCCTGGGAAGAATTTTCCAAAACAGGCGAGGGCACCAACGCCGACACAGGGGGAACAGTAAGAGAGTGTTCCTTTGGCCTTAGCTGTTGAATTCTTTTGTTTCAGATCGCTGGCCGACTTCTTAGTAGGTGGTTTTGTCTTATGACAACTTTTCATATGTGTGCATTCACAGAGGTCCACTTGAAGAACCATGGTTGCATGTAAGTTAACCAATTTTCATCTGAACACAAAGCAATGGTAAGGCCACTTTTCATCTGAACACAAAGCAATGGTAAGAGCTGCTTTATAACAAATGTGAATGATAGTGAGCACAAGAATTCATAAATTCATTGATGAGCACAAAGAGAGAATTCTAATTAGGGATACAGAAAAGCAGTAATTTGAATATGTGAGGAGACGGAAAGTGCTATATATCCACCTCCTATTGTTTTGGACAGCAAATGTCTGAAAAGGAGATTTGCTACACACAAATGTCTGAAAAGGAGATTTGCTACACACGGAGCTTCTTCACATAACTGATGATCATGAAAAAACAGGGTTCCATACCACATGTAGACTTCACATGCAGTAGAGACTTTCCCCTTCAGATTGCCACTGCCCATGTGAAGAGACATGTTTTGGTTAACTCTCTCCTGTACATGTGTGTATGGTTTAAGAAATATCTAAACAAGCATACACAGTGTGAATGCTTCTTGTTTCTTGAAATGGTTCAGACAGTGGTGAAAACCCATTTTCCTACCCCGACAAAAAACAACACATTTTGATCATATATATGTAAACACTTGTTATATTTCATGATATATTTACTACACATAAAGTCACTTCTCTCACCCTAAAACAAAATATCCAACAGTTGAAGGTGATATATTTACTACACATAAAGTCACTTCCCTCACCCTAAAACAAAATATCCAACAGCTGAAGGAGTTTTTGTTGTTGTTGTTCAGTCATGTCCGACTCTTCGTGAACCCCTGGACCAGAGCACGCCAGGCCCTCCTGTCTTCCACTGCCTCCTGAAGTTGGGTCAAATTCATGTTGGTAGCTTTGATGACACTGTCCAACCATCTCATCCTTTGTCATCCCCTTCTCCTCTCGCCCTCACACTTTCCCAACATCAGGGTCTTTTCCAGGGACTCTTCTCTTCTCATGAGATGGCCAAAGTATTGGAGCCTCAACTTCTGGATCTGTCCTTCCAGCGAAAACTCTGGGTTGATTTCCTTCAAAATGGATTGATTTGTTCTCCTTGCAGTCCAGGGGACTCTCAAGAGTCTCCTCCAGCACCACAATTCAAAAGCATCAATTCATTGGCAGTCAGCCTTCCTTATGGTCCAGCTCTCACTTCCATACATCACTACTGGAAAAACCATAGCTTAGACTATGCGGACTTTTGTTGGTAAGGTGATGTCTCTGCCTTTTAAGATGCTGTGTAGGTTTGTCATCGCTTTCCTCCAAAGAAGCAGGAATCTTTTACTTTTGTGGCTGCCGTCACCATCTGCAGTGATCATGGAGCCTAGGAAGGTAAACTCTGTCACTGCCTCCATATCTTCCCCTTCTTTTTGCCAGGAGGTGATGGGGCCCATGGCCATGATCTTAGTTTTTTTCATGATGAGCTTCAGACCATTTTTTGCGCTCTCCTCTTTCACTCTCATTAAGAGGTTCTTTAATTCCTCCTCACTTTCTGCCATCAGAGTGGTAACATCTGCATATCTGAGGTTGTTGTTATTTCTTCCGGCAATCTTAATTCTGGCTTGGGATTCATGCAGTCCAGCCTTTCGTATGATATATTTTGCATATAAGTTAAATAAGAAGGCGGACAATATACAGCCTTGCCGTACTCCTTTCCTAATTTTGAACCAATCAGTTGTTCCATATCCAGTTCTAACTGTTGCTTCCTGTCCCACATATAGATTTCTCAGGCGATAAGGTGGTCAGGCACTCCCATTTCTTTAAGAACTTGCCATAGTTTGCTCTGGTCCACACAGTCAAGGGCTTTTGCATAGTCAATGAAGCAGAAGTATATGTTTTTCTGGAACTCTCTGGCCTTCTTCATAATCCAGCGCATGTTAGCAATTTGGTCTCAAGTTCCTCTGCCCCTTCGAAATCCATCTTATACAATGGTACCTTGATTTACAAACTTAATCCATATTGGAATGGTGTTTGTAAGTCAAAATGTTCGTAAGTCGAAGCACCATTTCCCATAGGAATGCACTGAAAACAAATCAGTCCGTTCTGGCAGAAGGGGGAAAAAAGAAAAAGAAAATAAACACGGCTAGTCCCTCGCTGGGACTGCAAAAAAATTAAAATTAAAATCCAAAAATAAACATTGGAGCAAGTCCCACGCTGGGACTACAAAAATAAAACTATCAAAAAACAAGACAACACAAAAACATAACCCCCAGCCCAAAACTACCCTCCAAAACCCACCCAGAACAAAATTTAAAAAGGGAAAGGCAGCACTTTACCAGTCCGAAGCCTCTGTGGAGGCTTCCCGGGCTTCCACAGCACCGGCACCCAGCTGCTTTTCTTTCCTCCCCCTGCCGCATCACCGTCCACGTAGCCTTTCTGACCTGCGCCCAGGGCCTTCAGCGGTGCTTACTCGTGAGCAGACCCATACCAGGGATGGGCAGGGAGCACACCGGCTTCCCACGCCCAGCAGCAATCTGGAGCCACCCCGCCTCTCCTTCCTCCTCCTGCACCTCAGGAGTAGAAAAGTTCCCTGACCCCTGCTCTAACCGTTGGGGCAAAAGAGCTACAAAGAAGCAGCCTCTTTGCCTCCAACGGTTTAAATTTCCTGCCCTTTCCCCCTGCCTTTTTCCATTCGTATGTCGAAGCTCCGTTCGCAAGTCAATGCAAAATTTTGCAAATGGAGATGTTCATAAGTTGAAATGCTCATAAGTAGAAATGTTCGTAAGTCAAGGTTCCACTGTACTTCTGGGAGTTCTCGGTCCACATACTGCTGAAGCCTGCTTTGGAGGATTTTGAGCATAACCTTGCTAGTGTGTGAAATGAGTGAAATTGTACAGTAGTTGGAGCATTCTTTGGCACTGCACTTCTTTGGGATTGGGATGTAGACTGATCTTTTCCAATCCTCTGGCCACTGCTGAGTTTTCCAAACTTGCTGGCATATTGAGTGTAGCACCTTAACAACATCATCTTTTAAGATTTTAAATAGCTCAACTGGAATGCCATCACCTCCACTGGCCTTGTTGTTAGCCACGCTTTCTAAGGCCCACTTGACTTTACTCTCCAGGATGTCTGGCTCAAGGTCAGCAACCACACTATCTGGGTTGTCCGGGACATCCAGATCTTTTTGGTATAATTCCTCTGTGTATTCTTGCCACCTCTTCTTGATGTCTTCTGCTTCTGTTATGTCCCTATCATTTTTGCCCTTTATCATACCCATCTTTGCACAAAATTGTACTGCCATCCACCTCCACTGGCCTTGTTGTTAACCATTGTGACGATTGCCCCACATCACTCATAGTCATGATCTAATTTGCATGAGCCTATGAGAGGATTGGAGGGGTGAAGTCAGCTGCTATATGAAGGTTTGGCAGGAGGGAGAGTCAGATAGAAAGATTGAGCCTATGAGAGGATTGGAGGGGTGAAGTCAGCTGCTATGTGAAGGTTTGGCAGGAGGGAGAGTCAGAGAGAAAAGGAACAGATACTAATAGAGATAAAGGTGGATAAGATAAATAGAGAAGGTGGCAATTATATGGCAAGAGAAAAGTATGTATTGAGATACTTGTTAATGATTTCCTTGTGTACAATGTTCATCTGAAGAACTTATGCGATTATTAAACTGGCTTCACTTAATAAATAAGTTCTGTTTGCATTCACAAGACAAGTGTTTTGACAAACTTCATTTATATTGTGCATTGAGGTAATCCACTGGTGGCAGTGAGAGGAAAACACGACTGGAACCTTTGTAAGGGCACAATATGTAGCTGCCCAAAAGGATGACTGTCACAGCCATGCTTTCTAAGGCCCACTTGAACTTCGCTCTCCAGGATGTCTGGCTCAAGGTCAGCAACCACACTATCTGGGTTGTCTGGGACATCCAGATCTTTTTGGTATAATTCCTCTGTGTATTCTTGCCACCTCTTCTTGATGTCTTCTGCTTCTGTAAGGTCCCTACCATTTTTGTCCTTTATCATGT